CCGTCACCGGAAGGAGCACATGGATGCCGCTAAGAGGGTGTTGCGCTACTTGTGCAGTACGTCGGGCATGGGGCTCGTGCTTGGAGGCCGGAGCGACGTTGTCCTCACTGGTCACTCAGACGCTTCTTGGGCTGACGACCAGGCTACTCAGCGGTCGTCTCAGGGTTACACCTTCAGCCTTGGCTCTGGTTCAGTTTCTTGGCGTTCTACTCGCTCTTCTTCTGTTCTCAGCTCCAGTTGTGAGGCTGAGATCTACGCCACAGCCATGGCTGCACAGGAGTTACGCTGGCTCACCTACCTGCTGACCGACCTGGGAGAGCGGCCTCGTTCTCCTCCAGTTCTGTACGTCGACAATAAGGCCGCCATTGCCTTGTGTGAGGAGCACAGACTGGAGCACAGGACGAAGCACATCGCTCTGCGCTACTTCCTTGCTCGAGAGCTGCAGCAGCGTGGTCAGCTTCGTCTTGCGTACGTGGCCACTCGGGCCAACACTGCTGATGTGTTCACCAAGGCGCTTCAGCCTTGTGATCATCAGCGTTTCTGTACTGTTCTAGGCCTTGTGCCTACTGTCCCTCACTTGCTCACTTCTTGACTCTGCTTGTACTGTGATCTCTATATATATACCTGCATGCTTACACTTGCTAGGTTGTGATCACTGTATCTCTTGTTATATTATCAAACTGCATGTGAACTGGTCTTGTGACCACTTGCTTGTGCTCGGAATTTGTGTGGTTTCCTTGAGATCCACCCTGAGCTTGTTTTGCTTTGCTTTGCTTTGACTGGTCTTGTGACCCCTTGCTCTCCCCCACTTTGCCTATGGGGGTGTGTCAAACATTATACATGTTACTGCTGTGTAGGCTACAGTGGGTTAGCCTTTAGGGGGTACATTACTCTAGGGTTTCCTACTTGTACTCCCAACATTCCTAGTTCAATCATTCTCGTTCAGTTCTACATTCTAACATACCGCCCATCGCCTACGAGTCACGAAAAGTGCATCCGCCCGAGAAAATTTACCCGACGCACGACCGGCGCAGACGTGACAGTACAGACAGACCACAAATCTCTATAATACCTCCGCGCACATCCCCACCTCAACCCACGACACGTCCGTTGGCTCGACTTCCTCGAGTCCAACTTCCATTACACGGTCACCTACAAAAAAGAAGCATCGAACATCGCCGACGCTCTGACCTGCCCCACTGCCCAAATACATGCCATACTACTCGCCCAGACCAGCCCACTGCTTACAGGCCTGTTTACTCACGGCTACCAGACAGACCCATTCTTCACCAGAGGAAACTCACAGTAGTTCGCAGCAGCAAAAGGGAATTATTACGTAGAAGCCGGCACCGACCGCATCTGGGTACCGAGCTACAGTTTACTACGGGAGTTACTGCCACAAGAGGCACATGACAGGATTACCTCAGGACATTTCGGAGTAGAAAAGATACGGCAGCAATTATAGCGATATTACTACTGGCCCGAGATGATGACCGACGTGCAGCGACACGTGGCATCATGTCCCATCTGCCAGCTCATGAAGTCACCACGACAGCAACCGGCAGGACAATTGCAGCCGATACTACCCCCAGAGCGTGCTTAGCAGCAAGTGACGATGGACTTCGTCACGGGGTTACCGGCCGGAGCAAGTGGGAACGACGTGATCCTGGTCGTCGTCGATCGGCTGACGAAGATGGCACATTTCGCAGCCTGCAAAAAATCAATCACAGCCGAAGAAACAGCCCGACTCTTCATCTCCACCGTTGTTCGATTGCACGGGATACCAGTCGCGATCATTAGCGATCGTGACACGAAGTTCACCAGCAACTTCTGGAGGAACCTATGGCAGCAGTTCGGCACGCGACTACAGTTCAGCTCATCGTACCACCCCGAAACCGGCGGATAGATAGAGCGGACAAACTAGACCATGGAACATCTGATTCGAGCCACATGCGACGACCCGGCAACATGGGAACAACAACTGCAACTCACCGTTTTACCTCAACTGCGGACAGAACCCTAAAGTACCCATGACCCCGAATCTCGACAACCCGGTGCCACGCGTGCAACAATTCGCAAAATATTTTACAGGCAGCACGGACCCGGGCAGTAAACGCAATCAAGAAATCGAACATCATCACTAAATGCAACGCCGATCGCCACCGCCGCCCTGTCACTTACCAGCCCGGCGACCTTGTTCTACTCGATACCCAAAACCTCCGCCTGCTTCTCACCCCGAAGCTCCGCCCCCGATATTGCGGGCCATTTCGCATCAACCACATGATCACCCCCGTCACCGCCCACCTCCTTCTCCCTGCTGACAGGTACGTCAGCCCGTCATTTCACGTCAGCCTACTCCGCCCATACGTCCCATCCACCAGCCAACTGCATCGCAACCGCCCAGCCAGCATGGCACGACCGCCAACAGAGCCAATCATCACGCCCGAAAAAATACTGAGCCACCGAGTTCGTGAGCTACGTAGAGCTCGCATGATCACATTTCTTATCCGCTGGAAGGACTGCACACCGACTGAAGACAACTGGGTGCCCCTGGATAGAATCGAAAACCACCCCGTCCTCACCAACTATCTGCGCAGCCGAAATTTCCGGGATGTACACGCACTCTTGTAAGGAGTGCCTTCTAGGGGAGGGGGGTAGTGTAAGGAAATTCCTTTTCCTTACTTCACGCCCCTGCTTACCGCGTACATGACTGATCCCGCCAACAGTATCCAACAGTGCACAGTTACCACTTGCCTCGACATTTCCCAACCTCGGCGCTAGGCCCGTAGCGCACCCCAATTTCCCGCGTTACCGTTACCATGCTAGCTTTGCTATATATTCTTCGCTCATGCATTCGCTCAATGTATGGCTTTGCTTCGATGGTGCAATTCCCGCTCGATCACTCAATTGCACTCGTAACAATAACGAAGCTGTGACCGAATGAACTGAGGATACAATGAATAGCATGCGACAATATAGCGACTACCCTAGCTAGGCAGGGATTTCGGGAACGCGAGGTTGGGTGCAGGTTGGGCAAGGGAAAACTTAAGGCGACGCGAGACAGCCTCGGTTTTGGAGATGTTGGCTGAATGTGCTAGTTAAAAAATGTGGGGTTGTAAGCGAAGCAGTTTACCCTGATTAAGGAAAATAACTTCTTACAATTGTTCTTCATTGATCTCAATTTCTTAGTGAAACAATGCCGATTATCCCTGTGCACACAGCAAGTTGAGAGAACAAGTGCAACGTGTCAGAATGTGTAGTTTGTCTAGCCTGCAGTGGGGTACTCTATAGTGAGTACGGCCCCTTAGGGTTTCCTATATGTATCCACCTGCTTGCTAGTGCAACCTCTCCTTTTTGCCTATTTTCTCTTGCCTAGCTAGCTAAACCCTAGATATGGCTCCTCGTTCTGCCTGCTATTGTGACACAACGCTACGATCATCCGTACAACCCCGTGCCTTCTCATGTAGTCCATCCACCGTTGTAGAGTAATTCTCCGCAATCTCGGCATGGGTGCTGGCATGGAGTTTTAGGGCGCCGACAGTTGCATGACGCAGAGGCCGAGTGACCGCTTCTGGCGATCGAGAGCGACCTTGTGCAGATTGCTGTCGATTCGTCTTTGGACAAAAACAGCACCCCGTGCAGCCAGGGCCCACGATATCAGGGCAAAACATCCTGATTACCCTGATTTCAGGATGGTATTTTAAGTTTGCCCTGGAATTTCAGAATGATGCTGAAATTTACCCTGTGACGTCAGGATGATCCATGTGTTTTGCCCTGAAATTTCAGAATGGCAGTGAAATTTTGCCCTGAAGCGGTAGGGTGAATGTAGAGGGATGCCCTGACTCGTGGGAAGGGGAGAAGGGGTGGAGGAGGGAGAGGGGGAGAGGGGGAGAGGGGAGGAAGGAGGCTGGAGGGTGTGTGTGCTAGTTTTGTCCCCCACCCCTCCCCCACCAATGTTTTTGCTCAGGCAGTAGAAGTGAAACCAGTGAACAACCTGCTCCTTTCGTGCCTTCCCCTCCATCCTCTCTAGTGCCTTGTATTTTTTGCCCTGAATCATCCAGATGAATTTCTCCTGGTGCCTTCAAATTTCAGGATGGCCAGGAAATTTTGCCCTGAAAAATCAGGGCATTTTGGAGATTTTTCAAAAGTTACCCTGAGGGCTCAGGGTGCCCTAAATCCTAGCACAGGCCCTGCGTGCAGCTGCTACGCATGCACTACGCCTAGGCGGCTAGGATTCGTAGAGTGCTCTAGAGCACCATGTCGTCATGGCTCGTACCTATTAGCAAGGTGGTCAGTACTATGATCGGCCTTCACGTTTGCATATGACAATGACCTTTTGAAGGTTTTGACCTACCCAGCCCTTGTTTCTTTGGTGTTTCTGAATATATACCTCTGTATATTGTAATATTGTACGGTACTTGTTTTTGCAAAAAAAAATCATCTGTTACTTTTATCATAAGCCCGAATTTATTCTGCTGTAACTCTTACAGGTGTACACCATTGCAAGTCTGCCCATCATTTACCATGGCTGGATTATGCAGCAGCTGCTGGAAGGTTGACAGCGTAATTATGATTTCTTTCCAACTTATAGGTGAACCTTGGTTGGAGATGAACTGAACATGGGGTGAGGGAAGCATGATTAGTGCAGGGGAGAAAGAGCATTGAGGAAGGGAGGAGTGTGGTGTGGAAGCTGTGTTCATGAAAAGGCGAGATTTCAAATGATGCGCACAAAATGTGGTGCAGGAATCCTCCAATATATGTAGAAAGACAAGTGAACAACTTCACAAGCAGCTAGCCTTTCTATCCGCCCCCCTCTTTTCCTGCAACCACCCCACACCCCCTAGGTAGTAGTACTCACCAAGCCACCCACACATCCACTCTCACTCTACTAACCCCAAGTCTGACTGAACATCCGCCTGTATGACCCATCCTCCTATCCCCGTGGGAACACAGAATCCCACCCTCTCCTCTCCCCTTCCACACCCTGCCTTCACGCCGCCCTAAGAGGTTGACACGGTGACGGCCTTGACAGCGGTAGCAGACGGGTTGAACCAAGCGGCCGGCACCACATTGAACCCATTTGCTTTGGCTGCGCCCGTGAACTTGAGGAGCGAGCTCACGAGAAACTGCTTCGCGACGGCGCCGCCATTCTTGGGCAAAACCTTCTTGACAAACACATACCGGCGGGCGCCTTGGCAGTAGACTTCCAGATAAGATCCACCTGATCCCACGAACCGTCCGGTGCGGGGCGGGTAACGCCGCTGAGCGCGTTCGTCGCGATCCACGTCGCGGACGTGAGCGCCTGCCCGAGCGTGTTCTTAAGCGCGACCTCGGAGATCTTGTTCCTGAATTTCTTGTTCCTCACCTGCGCCGAGCACGCGCTCACGTGTGCGTACCCGATCGCGCCCACCTTCGCCACCACCGCGTTGCACATTGCCGTGTTCGACGCCACCGTCAGGAGACCCGAGAAAGTCAGCGGCGAGCCATCAGTCTTGCCGGTGTAAGACGCGCCCGCCTTCACCCACAGCTGCTGAATGATGGCCGTTGTGCCGACCTTGTCGGAGCGCGCATAGCGGGAAATGGCGCCGGTAATCCTGCCCTTCGCGGCGGGAATGCTCCCCCAATCGGTTACGGCGCCGCTGTAGATGTTGTAAGTGTCGACCGCGCTGAGAACAATGGTGGGCCCATGCACGAAGAAGTTGTACGCGGCGACGGCGACGGGAAGAGTGATCTTCCCAACACCGGCATTCTGGCCTTCCACGGTGGCGGTGATGGGCTCGGAGGCGGCGCCAATGAGGTAGGTACCGTTGTAGAAACCCTTGATGCCGTTGCTAGAGCCTGAGGGGTCGTAGGGACCCACCAGCAGCACCGGCTTCTTCTTGGCCGCCGCGTTCCATGAAGCGATCAGGGACTTCGCCAGCTGCAGGATTTGCGTGTTGCGTTTGGGGAATAAGAGGGAACATGTGGTGAGTGCGGGAGGTGAAACAACCGCACTGCCTTGATTCACACCGTTTGAGAATAGTAGTTATGCGGAGTGAATGCAGTTGGGTGCGATGTGATTGTGGTGAGAGAAGATTGTGGTGAGAGAAGTGGTAAAGCAGTGTGAAAGTTGCAGAAAGAAGCATGGTGATACAGTCAGATCATGCTTGACCTCGGGGTGTTGCAATTCAGTAAATGACAGACAGTTACCAATATTTTCACATCATACCGGCTCAAGAGGCTGCGCTCCGCCCCAGAAGGGACTGATGACAGCAGATACGGACGTGGCAAGAGACAGGGCCACGAGCAGAAGCACAGCGCCACGGGCGATCGGAGCCATTGGTGTTGAAATGTGGGGGTCTCAGCTGCAATAGCGGAAGAACGGAGCGTTTAGAAGTTGATCAGTGGCTAATCAAAAGAGAAGTGGATTCTCAAAGTTTGATGAGAATGTTTAGTTTCACGTTGGCTTTTATGGTGGATGCCGCCGCGGCTGCTTCCCTGTCGGGAGGACCTGAGGGTCGAGTGTCCTGGCTCGAACCAAAAATTGCACATCAGAAATGCGGTTCGGACGCTTCAGCAAGGGAAGGGCTTATCCGGATTGTACACCACTCTGTGATAGACGAGGGGTGTACACAGGAAGCGCGTTTGACTCCCACAACTTTTCCCGTCATTTGGGTGTTTAGTGAGCAACCCTATTTCGCTTTCTCGCCAACATTCGCCACGGGCAAAATCGGGACTGTAGTGGGCAGGTGAAGAAATGTAACCATATTCTTCAAAATGTCTCTCGAACGGACGGATGCCAGCGTGATAAGCTGCCTGTTCAACGGCTGCGATCAAAATAGGGGCTTGTATTGTGCGTGCAACTGGCTGGTACTACTTGCAATTGGGCAGGCTGTCGAGCTTGGGCAGACCAAATTCGCGTGCAGTCGTTGAGCATCCTGTGTAGAACAGTAGATGCAATTTTCGTGATCATGCTTGATGCACTTGTGGGGATGCATCGAGCATCTGAACCTTCACTGTCCAGATGCGGGTGATCGGAGATCAGCCGCGGGGATAAATGATGCCCAAGGGGATTGCGCGCAAACGATGTGCTCCCAGATTTGCTGGAGTACAGTAACCGGCGGATCAACCTGCTCAAACCGTGCCGCTGGCGAAAGTCCCGGATTCGCCGCGATGCACATTGCCGTCCAGCTGGTACTAGAGTTGCGTGCCACTTCGGGTCACATCTCATCTCACCTGGACACGAAACATGCCAGCTCCGTGACCCGCATAGGACGCCACCATCAGACAACCCCCCGCGATTCGATGTCGAAATGCAGCTTGGCATTTTCCCAAACTTGGCCAGCCGGATTAGCGACTCGAAAATCCACTGCTCAAGCGCAACGCCTCCCAGGCAAGTCCCCAAGTCCTGGCTGGACTGCTGCTGTCTGCTCTCTGAGCCTATAGCTCCTCCTTGATCAGCTGCGCAGCACTGCCACTTCGCGCTTCAGCCGCAGCGGCAAGCAACACACGCCTGTTTCCATTGGACCGACAGAAAACGGCGTTCTAACGGCCAGTACAGTAGTAATCGCCGTTGGTGGAGCGATTGTCGTTGTCACTCAGTTCTTATTCTCTAACCCGTCATCAACCCGCCAAAACCTGGAAGACACCTTCACATAATAGCTCCGAGTTACTCCGCCCACCGACATATGCTCTCATCGGCTCTCCACGCAGTGGGCTTTGAGTCCCTTGTTCATGCTGGATGTTCAGTTTGTGCAGTGAACCTAGCCATTCGTACCACCTTGTCCTCGTACGAACCATGCTTGCCGAGCATACCGAATTGTATGCTAGGGAGAAGGTTTTTTTGTTTGCTAGTGGCTACTGTACTCTGTTGGTTGCGAAGACAGACCGAGCCTACGGGTCTGATCTGGCCCCAAACCTAAACGCACCCCACCAGGATTTAGGGCTCGAATAGTCAGGCACTCGATAACTCGATACAGTTTGTCGAATACAACCCATCCGAATTGAGAGTTCCTATTCAGGGTCATGCATATAACACAAATCGTAACAAACGGCTGCGAAAAAGTCGCAAGCACCGAAACACAACGCGATGCCAAGAACACCCTTTTTGAAAAAAAAAAAAAAAAAACAGTGCTGTCGGTCATAGGAAACGAGCAGTCATGATCGAATGAGTGTGCAAAAGAGGGATTCAATGTAGTACGATTGATATGTGTCGGTACATATCCAAACCTCTAAGGTTCGTCCTCCTGCCCTACATGCCGCCGCCCTTGTGCTAATGCTGGTTCCTTGGCTCGCCATACCAATTCCTGTCAGCAAAACTGCTGCTAGACAACAAGCTGTATGTCCTCCTCCTCGCCCCGCCCCTCGTGCTCAAGCTGCAACTGCACAGTCCTCCTCTCCGCCGGCAATTCCTCCTGCCACCTGGGACGCTGACCTTGAGTGGGAATGGCCTGCCTTCTTCAGCGTTACAGTTTCTCCCGGACCCATCATTCGCCGTATTCCCCCTCGCATTCGCCTCCCCGTGCTCGTTGCCTTGCTTATCTCCCTACGACGGCTTGCGCAACATCCTTCTGACACTACTGCACACCTTATCCTGCTTGCTTTCCCGCGCCTCGTCCTCCGCTTTACTGCTGCCGCACCCTCTCAATCGCTTACTGCAGCATGCGCACTTCAAGCTAAACGCTTCATTAGCAGTGATTGGCATGCTCTCTTCCTTGAAGCCTCCGCTGCTACTCTAGCTGCCCACCCCCTTGCCCTAGCTTCTGCCACCCAAGCACACCTTCATCGAGGCGCATGGTTTGCTAAGTGTGGAGACTGGTCCTGCTCATTGGCTGCGCTAGACGCCGGCAAATTCGCTCCTCCTTCTCCTAAGACAATCCATCCGTCTCCTCCAAGCATCCGCCTCCATCGGATTCCCTCCCCCAATGGATTTCCACCCCACAGCTTTCTGCTCCGCTCCTCCACTTGGCTCTTTGATCGGCCCCATGGGGAACCGCTGCTGGCCCTTCGGGTTGGTTGATTGAGCATCTCAGGGACACATTCCTTACTACCCAGCAGCACCTTCCCTCCCTCCTCCGCCTCTTCCAAAACTGGCTGCAGGGCGACCTCCCACCTCCAGTCCGTTCATACTACACCGCATCCACTCTTGTAGCCCTCAAGAAGCCGCAGGGTGGGGTCCGGCCGATCGCTATAGGAGAAGTTCTCCCACGTCTTCTTTCCCGCTGCATCACCCTCATGTTCAAGCAGCAGCTGCGAGACACCTTCCTCCCCTGCCTTAGTTCGGGCTTGCGGTTCCTGCCGACATCGAAGTGATGGCGCATGCTGTACAATCTGCCCTCTCTCTTCATCCTGACTGGGCGGTGCTTCAGCTTGACGTAGCTAACGCCTTCAACTACGTCAACAGAACTGTCATGTTCGAGGCCCTCCGGTCCTCAGCTTTCTCTCCGCTCATCCCCTACTTCCGCCTCTTCTCCTCCTCCCCCTCTCCCCTTCACTACCGCAACGGCCCAACCCTCCATATATTCGAGTCCCCCTCGGGCGTGCGTCAGGGGGACCCTTGCGGTCCCTTTCTTTATACCCTCACCCAACACCTTGACATTCTTCCCACCCAGAACCAGATCCCGTCCATATTCATCTCATCTTACGCTGACGACACCTTCATCGCCGGCCCTCCCTCAACAGTTACCACTGCCTTTGCTGCACTGACCGACCGCCTCCATTCCTTAAGTCTCATATTCCAACCCTCGAAATGCTCTATCTGGTGCCCTCTGGACTGGCACCAGGACTGTGTAGCCCCTCCGGGTGTTCCCATTGCTCCCAACGGCCTCAACGTTGCAGGGGTCCCGATTGATCCGGACGGCTACATCATTTCCACCGTACGGGAGAAGCTTGACTCATTTGCAGCCACCCTTCCTCTCCTTCACCAGCTTCACGGCCCTCAGAGTGCCTCCCGCATCCTCTCTCAGTGCGTCTCAGCCCGCCCTTCCTTCCTCCTCAGGACACTTTCGCCATTCCCAAAGATACACGACCTCTTCCGCTCTTGGGACTCTACCATCTTGCACCATTTCACCCAACTCTTTGGCCCTGGTTACTGGATTCCAGACACGGAGCATACCACCACGGCGCAGCTGCAAGCCTTCCTCCCTATTTGCCTTGGGGGTTTCGGCCTTCGTTCCTCTGCCTCTGCAGCACCTCCCATCTACCCCTGCAGTTGGGCTCAGTTGCTTTTATTACTGTTCACACACTTCATCACTGATGGCTCGCCGCTTTTCCGCCCCTTTCTCTCCTCTGACACCATTCACCGCCTGGACGAGTTTATCTCAGCAGCAGCTGCCATGCTGTCCAAGGAAGTTCAAGACCGCTTCCCTTCCTGGTCTCACCTTCTACCTGGCTACCCCCCCAAACTCTTCACACACCTCTCGCAGCAGCTCGAAGCTTCTTTGCTTGAGAAAGTCCGTGCGACTGTCACTTCCCCTCTTCGCCTGGCCCGTTTAACCTCCCTGCAGGGCCCACATGCGGGGTATTGACTTACTGCGACTCCTTCTTTGCCTCAGCTGCAGCTCACTGAAACCGAATGGCGCATTGCTGCTGCCATCCGCCTCGGCCTCCCCATTCCTCACCTCAGCTCCGCCGAGTCGTGCGCTTGTGGTCACTCCTTCTCGGACTCTTCCCTTCCTTCCCATGCCCTCCGCTGCCCCAAGAACAACAAGCCTACCAAAGTGCACGACGCCGTCAAGCACGAACTGCACCGAATCTCTTTGAAGCTCGGCCTTGTGGTGCAGTTAGAAGACCACCACCTCCTTCCTGGCCGCCGATCTGACATCAGCTGCAGGGACATTCAGGCCGGCGCCACCTGGGATTTGGACATTTCAGTGGCTAATCCACAGCACGGCTTCCCCCACTCCAATGCTGCCACTGTCATTGGTTCAGCCGCAGCTTCACCCGAAACCGAGAAGGCCACACTGTACGCATCGTCCCTGCGGTCCCGACCCGACGTCAAGCTACTTCCTCTGGCCCTTGAGACTTTTGGGTGCTTTGGAAAGTCATTCCAGGACTTCCTTAAGGAATGCAGCCGCCGTGGAGCTTCTCGCCTTCGTGACATGAGTGCCGACCTCATTCCGCAATTGTTCGAGACCAGCTTCTACAATCATATTTCCCTCGTCCACCAGCGCGAGCAGGCCCGAACGATCTGCAGGCGGGCACAGGTTCGGTTCACCGTCGGGACTAGCACCACCTCTTTGGAGGTTACCCCTCCGTCGGCAGCGGACTTGCGTACATGGGGAACGATTACTGAATGAGATAGACGTTGGTCTACCGTTGTTGTTTCCCTTGCATAGCTTC